GGGGGGGGACAGCGGGGGCTCTGACTCCCTCCACCCGTTCCCCGGAGCAGATGCCGCCACGTCCTCGGGCAGCTGGAACGGAGAGCGGGAGCTGAGAAGCACCGCGCGGGAGCTGAGCATCTACCTGGCTTTCCTGGTGTCCCTCTGCATCCGTAAGTCCCCCCGCTGAGGGGGGTGGCTGGTTAACCTGTGAGCTGTACCTCCCCCGTTATTTACTCCCCACTCCACCTGTCTTGCACCCAAAAGCATCACTGCAGTGGGAATTGCTGCCGGCCCTTTTCTAGCAGCATGACCTCATGGCAGCCGAGGCAGAGGAGCAGGGTTGGAAGCTGTTGTCACTTTCCAGGCTCAGCCTCTGTGCCCTTTCTTTCCAGTGACGTTTGGCATGGTGAGCACGGACATGTACTACCTGAACAAAGTCATGTCCTACCTCTTCCTGGAGCCTGCCTCTGCTGACGACTCCAGGAGAGGTTTCAGCAGTATTGGGAGCAGAGATGACTTCTGGAGGGTAAGGCTTTCGTTGCAAAGATGTCTTCTTGGAGAGCAAACAAGGGAAGAAGCACGTAGTGTCAGTTCAGAGCAATAGTCTTGTGATTCTCCTGAAAGCCATGTGCTAGATGTTTGTCTTTCCTCAGCTGAAAGCACAAGAATTTCTTAAAAAGCTTTTGGAGAAATTCTGGGTACAAACATTATTATGCTGATACCTCTGAATAGTCAAAAGAAAACAGTCCCATCAATTGCTGCATCATATGCACAATATTAGGCTTCATCAGAAAAGAGCTTCAAGAAAAAACAAAGATTTGGGGTTTACAGTTCTTTTGACTTTCAGGTGTTAAAAAAAGAAGAAATGATGATTTCCTCTGGGACAGCCAGGAAGATTTGGGGTTTACAGTTCTTTTGACTTTCAGGTGTTAAAAAAAAAAGAAAAAGAAAAAGAAATGATGATTTCCTCTGGGGCAGCCAGGAGAACATCCCATGTTGGTTCACCTGGTTTGCTGCTACATCACCTCGTATTTCATAGGCAGGTGCAAAATGCTTCTCTCTGTTCCCACTACCAGGTGGAGGACTTTCCAAGATTAGCAGCATTGCCCAGGTGACAGCAGAAGGCAAAGTTGGTCACCCTACCCTTCCTTCAAAGGGGAAATGCTGGGTTATAACAACTCACTTGGAAGCACTGTACTCACTCCCATCATGGTGCCAAGCTAGTGAGCCCTTGCACTCCAGTGTGTGAGCTGGTGGACTGGAAATGGGTGGAATACACACTCAGATGGTGACAAACCATGGGGCATGTTGTTTTGTACTTGGAATAATGTTCTCCCCAGCATTTAATGCTCTTTACCTGCATCTAAGAAGCACCTAGAAAAGAGGGGTTTGTTTGCCTGCCTTCAAAAAGAAATACTTCTTCATTTAGATTCAAATGGCTAAAAATCCTAGTCAGAAATACATCCCAGACTGGATCTGCACAGGCTAACAACATATAATGTTTGCCTTTAAATGTGTGTGTTTAGTATTCAAAATGCTTCAGTGAAACCCCAAACAGATGTGTGTTGTAATCTTAGCCTGAACAGTCCCATTCCATGGCTCTGATAGAACTGCACAGGGAATAGAATTGTCTCAGAGCAAAAAGATGTAACTATATCACATTTATAAGGCAGCACAGAGGTGGAAATTGTTTGCATTCTAACAGACTCTGAAGCTCTAAGTAACCACAGAACCCTGTAGAGAGGTGTGTGCTAGAAAGTGGGATAATAGTGGTGTTTAAATCTTGAGTCTTTAACCTCACTTGTACGTGTAGTTTGCAGAGGGACCACTGTTGGATGGACTCTACCAGGACGGAGGGTCTAACAACACGACTTCAGCCTTCCAGTACAACCACCTTATTCACTCTGAGAATTTGCTGCTGGGGGTAGCCCAGATTCGGCAGCTGAAGGTGCACAACAACAGCTGCTCCATCCACCCCTCCCTGCGTCCCTTCCTGAGAGACTGCTACAGTGAATATCATTACTGGGCTGAGGACAGGTCTAGCTTTGGTCCAAAGAACGGATCTGAGTAAGTCATCCCACTTCAGCAGAGAAATGTTTCTGAAAACCTAACCAAATCCTCAACGCCAGCATTCCTCATGAAAAACAGCCAGGCACCCAATTAGCTGAGTTCTCTTGTTTACACTGAGATAAATTGGTTTTGTGCCAACATTATCCATGGAAATTTAGTGTGGGGAATCTATAGAGAGACAGGAAGAACTGGAAACAGCAAGCCCAGTTTCAGCAGAAGCACGTGTTAGTGGGTCTGTCTCCACTAACATCTCTGGAGGCATGCTCAGGTACACAAGGCCTGAATTTAAATCACTTTTGTAAATTGGAATCACACTAAGATGCTCTGGAAACAGCCAAGAGGCCTGCCCCCCACACTTCATTTAGAATCAAGGCAATGAAAGAACATGTGGACCTGCTACAGTAAAAATGAACTGTGTAAAACAGAGAGACTCCCATTTACCTGGGAAGGTTTTAAGGTAATAAACTGTCTGGCCCACCTTGGGTGAAATCCAAACCTGTGAGCAAGTGCTGGTTTGTGAATGTACTGAGTAGCTAAAGAAAAGAAGTGGGAATATCTTAAGGCTGTATGTTTTGTGCATGTTTCATGTAAAGAAAAATTATTATTTCAAAGGTCTGGGTTAGATGGTCAGTTGTGGATGCAGAAGAACACAAGAAAGCTGGGGAGGGACTTTTTAGGATCTCAAGTAACAACAGAACTAGAGGGAATGGGGCAAAGCTGGCAGTGGGCAGATTCAGGCTGGATGTGAGGAAGAAGTTCTTCCCCATGAGAGTGGTGAGACCCTGGAATGGGTTGCCCAGGGAGGTGGTTGAGGCCCCATCCCTGGGGGTCTTTAAGGCCAGGCTGGAGGAGGCTCTGGGCAGCCTGATCTAGTGGGAGGTGTCCCGGCTCATGGCAGAGGGGTTGGAACTGGGGGATCCTTGTGGTCCCTTCCAGCCCTGACAGATTCTGATCTGTTGTGGCAGAGGACTTTGGAGCCCTGGTGGCTCAGTGGTTGGACTTGATGATCTTGGAGGTCCCTTCCAACCTAAATGATTCTATGATAACTAAGAAAGTTTGCATAAAATAAATTAAAGCTTACTTCAGTCCAGTTTCATAAGCTGTGCTGCTTTCCTTCCCCATTTCTGACAGGTGGCACTATAACTCAGCCCCCTCGTTGACCCCGTGGTACTGGGGCTTGGCAGGCCTCTACAGCAGTGGAGGGTATGTGTTCACCTTACCTAAATCCAAGCAGGAGAGCATGGAGAAGCTGGTGTTCCTCAGGCAGAACAGCTGGCTCACGAGAGGAACCAGGGCTGTGTTTATCGACTTCTCCACATACAACGCTAACGTAAACCTCTTCTGTGTGACCAGGTGAGCTCCTACCCACACTGCAGCTGACATCCAGCTCACTGAGGTGTGGTGCTTCCACAGGGACAGGAGGACAGGCTGGTCACCTCAGGGAGCAGCTGGCAAGACTGCCAAATTCATTAAAAAGGCAGAAATTGGGTTAGTGTGGGGAGCAGACTCGTGTTTTCTGTTTGCATTGGGGTTTTTTTTGACTAGTTGGTGTCTGGTCTGTAGAGCTGGTTGCTGCTGTCAGCTGGAATAGATTTCATGGTCTTCTGCAAGATCAAGGGCTGGATTGTTAGTCCTGTTGGCAGCTAGTGGAGGGAGAAGACTTGGGGTAAGGTGAATGTTTGCTCCTCTGAGGCAGTTTCTTTAGAGACTTGAACTAAACACCATAGCTTGGGTATCCCAAGAGCTTCTCTGCTTCCCTTCAACCTTCCCTACCATGTAACACTCTTGTCACTGGGGACTGAGCCCTTACAAGGTCTTAGCAGATGTAGGAGCTCCAGTAAGGTACTGCTAATGGCATAATAATCAATATTAGAAAATTAAGGGCCAAGATGATTTAAAGGGATGGTAACTAACACCAGTCCCCATTTTATTCTCAGGTTGGTGGCAGAGTTCCTTGCCTCTGGCTGTGTTCTCACCTCCTCACACATCTACTCTGTGAAGCTCTTCAGATACGTCACCCCCTACGATTACTTCCTGGCTTTTTGTGAAATCTCCTTTTGCCTCTTCATCATGACATTCATGATTCAGGAAGCTGTAAAAATTGCAGAACTGAGAAAGGAATATTTCAGAAGTGCCTGGAACTGGCTGGAACTGCTGCTGCTGCTGGTGAGCTAAGCCTTGACTTTCACCTCTGGGCTTGCCAGCCTTCAAATCTCACCAGGGGCCTTTTGAAATCAGCACAGTCCTTCCTGTGCCCAGTGACAGACTGAAGAGAGGGCAGCTAGCTGGACCTGAGTTTCACTGGCTCCTGCTTTCCTCCAGGTGTCCATCCTTGCCATTGCCTTCAACATCTACCGCACGGTGAAGGTGTCCCTGCTAGTGGAGGAGCTGCTCTCTGATGCCAACGTGTATCCTGACTTCTATTTCCTTGCATTCTGGCAAGTCCTTTACAACAACATGATTGCTGTCAACATCTTCTTTGCTTGGATAAAGGTAAAGCTCTTAGTCCTATTTTTTGTACTTGAGAATGATGGTTTCTCTGAGCATCACATAAACATCCACTTTTACCTTTCCCTGGGTGAACTGCAAAGGTGGGGCTAAAAGGAAGAATTTTGTTTATAAGAGTCCAAAAGTGTTTAAAATTGCCTCCTTCTCATAAACATGGCTCACACAAATTCCAAGTCCATCTAAAAAAAAGAATATTTCAGTGTAGGCAGCTGTCTCCATTGGCTCAGCATGGGGAATTGCCATGGCCCAACAGGCTCCTCAGACTCAGTCTTCTCCTAGACCCAGTATTATGCAGGTCACAGCCTGACTGTAGAGATGGCACAGCTGAGATAGGTGAAGCTGCTGATGGGTTTTGTCTACAAAAACTATGAAAACAGCAGCTACTATTTTAACTGCAGAGGAAGCCAAAATGTGCCTGAACTCAATTCAAAGGTGTCCTGGCACAAAGCCACTTTTAATTTCATTCTGACCTGCAGCTAGGTTGGCTGATCTCTAGACAGAGTAGCAAACTTCTCCAAGATGAGCAGATACTTTTGTTCTGAACCAGGTGCTCTGGGGCCAGACCAGTCCTGCATGTTTGCATACCCCTAACAGACTAAACCCTGCTGGCCCTGACTGGGGTGCAGAACCCAGCAGACATCAGTGACATCAGTTTGGGTGGCCTCAGCCTTCCCAATGCCTGGAGGAAACTTCCCAAAGCTTGGCCTGGTCCCAGGCTGCTCTCAGGCTCTCTCCTCCCTGAGGTATTTGTAGAAGTCCCAGCACCAAGCAGCTGTGAAGCAGGCAGGGGAGGTGCTCCCATCTGCCAGAGGAGTTCACACTTTACAGTCATACCCCAACCACCTGGATGTCACCTATCATGAAAGGTCACATCCTTCTGCAATAAAACAGGCTTCTGGCCTTCCATCTCCTCCCAGGCCCAGGCTGCAGGAAGCAGCTGGTGGGGGAACACTGGCTGTTAGCTGCTTCTGTGGATGGTCTTCCTCCTTCCATCCATTCTGTGCCCCAGCTGCACGTTCCCCCTGCACCATCCTCCCCTCAGGCTGATGACTCTTAATTTAGTGGCACGACTGTGTTTATAGTTAGTGGCTGTCATTGAACTAGGGCTTTGTTCAGGCCCAAAGTACAAGAGAGCTCCTTACCAGGGAATCCTCAGGTACAGGGGTTGGTGCAGCTTGGAACCTCCTTGACCAGAGCTGATGACACACATACCAGTACCCAGCAGAGACCTGTCCACACACCCTTGGCCTTGGCACAGAAGCACAATTGCCCTGCAGAATATTCACCACCTCCAGCAGCTCACCCAACCCTGGTTCTCCTTACAGACACATACCACACAACTTATTGCCAGGTGTGACTCAGCCTGTGAACTACAATCTCACATAGCTGTCCAGAAATCCTGTCAAGAAGCTGTAACATATTTTGGACCCCCAATAACAACGTGTTCTGTTCTCTTGCAGATATTTAAATTTGTAGGCTTTAACAAAACCATGACCCAGCTGGCCTCCACTTTGTCTCGCTGCACCAAAGACATCATTGGATTTGCTTTCATGTTCTTCATCATTTTCTTTGCCTATGCCCAGTTAGGCTACCTGGTCTTCCAGTCACAAGTTGAAGAATTTTCCACTTTCCCAAACTGCATGTATGCCACTTTCTAAACTTTTTGACACAAACCCCCCCAGCTGGTGCAGGTGCAAACCAGTTTCTGCCAAGCAGAACTTACACAGTTATCCAACAGTGAAGTTTTTTCATAGAATAAACCCAGTTTTGTTGCCCCTACAGCCTGTTTCCCAAAGCCCTCCTGTGTTCAAAAGAGATCACACGTGCGTTTAACTGGTCAGGGAAGGGTAAGAAGGGAAAGCTGAGGAGCAGGTCACCCAGATCCCATCTGCTGCCTCTCTTACTGTCTTCCCCAGACTTTTTTCAATCCACTCACTGTAGCAACAACACCAGATCAATTCCAGGTGCCAGCTGGAACTGGTTTGGGTGTTCTTGCAGCTTGTAGTAACCCTAACCTATGACCCACCCTGCATGGGGGGTTTTAGCCCTTGGCTTCATTCCTTACAGCTTTAGAGAGAGACTGTGAGTGTACCAGGTGCTTTGAAAGCAGCACTTCATGTAAAATTAAGGCACTTCTAAACCACAAAAAATAGCTTGTTTTGGATCCACTTGGATGTGAGATACTTCTAAGATGCTGCAGCACAGAGAAATGAGTATTTTATTGGCTTAGGTAAAGTCCCCTGTAGGGGACACAGGAACCTATCCTGTTACCTTCTCTGCTCACAGAAGAAAAGGGATCATGAAGCTAGAACAGAAAAATGCTTTTATAAAAAAGCAAACCAGGTGATTTATCCAAAATGAAAGTATTTTCTCATGCAAACCATTTCAACATTCCTTTGTATTTTCAAATTCTCAAGCATACACTAGATGCCCAATTTACCATTGCTCTATTACCCTGGCTTGCTTTTTGGTTTCAGTGACTAAGCTAATGGTCAGTCAGTCCCAGTTGTATTGTTGGGGGTGTTTAATAATGTCTGTGATGCTGCTCTTCAGGAGAAGCCAGGCAGACTCACTCTGGTGTGTTTTACTCCTAGCTTTACACAGTTTCGTATTGTGCTGGGAGATTTTAACTTCCAAGCCATAGAAGCAGCAGACAGAATCCTTGGACCTCTTTACTTCATCACCTTTGTAGTCTTTGTGTTCTTCATATTGCTAGTAGGTATCATCTTAAAAATGCTTCTCCTGCATAAGCAGCAGAGCAGAACCATCATAGCAGAACCAATCTAACTGCATCCTTCCCATGCAGAACATGTTTTTGGCTATTATAAATGACACCTATTCAGCAGTCAAAACAGACTTCCTAGTGACACCCAGCCAAGAACTGCAGATGGGAGACTTCTTCAGACAGGTAAGTAAACACTTCTCTAACTACCTCATTTAATTCAGGGTAAGAGGAGGAATTCTAAGCTACAGTACTAGCAAAGAGACTTAAACATCTGGGCCAGAACCATTCAAGAACCCCCAATATTTGATTTTTCACTTTAAATAAACATTTGACAGATACAGAAACATCCATGGAACCCAGAGGAGCTCCTAGTGGTAATAGCAGCATAGGAGCTAGGGTGCAGGGAGCCTACCTGTACTTCACCCTCAGTGTTCAAGACCAGCCTGGTTTGTGATCTGTCCCATCATCAGCTTGCTTCTTTGCTGCTCTTCCAAACTGGGAACCTAAAGATCTTCTCTGCATGGGAAAACAAGACAAGCAGAAACACATAACTTTAAATCTGGGCCAGATTGCCCAGAGAGGCTGTGGATACCCCTCCCTGGAGGTGTTCAGGGCCAGGCTGGATGAGGCCTTGAGCAACCTGGTCTGGGTGGGAGGCCTCCCTGCCCATGGACTAGGTGATCTCTAGGATCCCTTCCAGCCTCAGCCACTCTAGGGTTCCAAAATGATTCCCCCACCCAGCTCATTTTCCTACTTACCTGGAACTACAGGAAGACTAAACTGAGTGTGCCCAAACCCAGAGACTCTCTCTGGATTGGGCTGGCTGTTACCTTCAGGGGTTTCAGGAGGAATCTGAGCTGTAGCAGGGTAAGTTCTCTGAGCTCAGGGAACAAAGGGAGCGATAGACTGGTGGCATTTCTGTGTAACTGTGCTGGTGGTTTGCTCCTTGCACCAGTCCTCGTGCAAAAGTGTCTCTGGGCAAACAGGAGCCATTTAACCTGCCTGACTTGCCCTGTCTGTGTTCAGAGTTGCAACAAGGCCTTTGTCAAGCTCAGGCTGAAGAAACCAGAGGAGAACCACACACATGCTGCAGATACCTGGGAAAGGTAGGACAGCATTTGCTGTTACCCCCTGCACCAACCACAGAGAACTTCTCACAGGACTTCTGCCTCTTCTCATCTCTGTGAATGGCAAGAGAGGAATTTTCAGCCACCAAAAGAGAACTTTCCAGTGGAGAAAGTAATAATTAAAAAGTAGGCTTTATTCTTTCCTGTATTCTTAGAAACTGCTGATTTTATTTCAGAAGCTGAATAACAGAAAAGGGGTCAGCATTGTCCCCACTGTTACTTACAGAAGCTATTTCCCCACAGGACACTATTTTTAACGTCATAGCAACAGCAAAAGCTTGAGCTATAAATAAAGATAAATCACTAATTAGACCCAGAACTTCAGATGAAAGCTTGTTCAGGCAAGGCCATCCACTAGAGCAGGCGAGCTGGCAGCAGGGGAGGTCAGTGTCTCAGCAAGGGTATGAAGTTGTGAGCTGGACACCTGCCCAAATGTTAAACAAGCAGAGGTACAACAAACAAGTTTGACAGCAATCTGTTGGGTCCTTGGCTGCATCTACAGCCAGAGGAGAGATTCCTGTGGCTTCCTTTTGCTTTACAAGAAGAAGGTTTCCAGCAGTCTTTGGTAGTTCCATGTCTGGGATAAACCTGTGCAAGTACTTCCATAAACGTTCCTAAAGGAATCATTTCTACCCCGAGAGAGGAGAAAGCTCCTTGGTTAGCTGTAAGAAATACTACACACAATGCTTGAGGTCTCTCAGCTCTGAAAAAAAATGTGCATTCCTGGAGCCTGTCTTCTGGGAAGGGCCAGAAGGAAAATCTGGTTTCAGATGGAGATTTTTCTCCCCAAAGCTGTGTACATCTCCTGCATACAAGCCCCCTCCCTCCATGGGTGACCAGTTCCTGTGTCCCAGGGAGCCACTCTGGCTTGGGCTGTGACTTGTTTTTTCTATAAATCCCCCTGATGTTGAGTGGAGCCATCTGAAGTCATCACAGCTACAGGAGCTGCCAGCAAAACGTTGTCAGATGCGTCCACTGAGTGGGGCCATGGATGTGGTCACAGCTCAGAGCTAATCCCCACTGCAGAACTTCAGCAGAAGTGGGAGAGTCTGTTCCTGTTCCCCTCCCAGGGCAGCTGCAGACCTGGCCAAGACCCTCACCTGTGACAACCTGGCAGACCACAGAGAACACAAAGTCAGGGATTTTAACATATTTTAAGTGCTCTTCAACTGGCTGACAACAGATGCCCTTGGGGAGGGAAGAAGGAAACAGTTTAGTAGAGCAGCTTGTAAGGACCAGAGTCACAGGTGAGGTGGGACAAGAATTTTAGGTGTTGTCACTCTTCCAGAACATCTCCTACCACAGAGAACACAAAGTCAGGGATTTTAACATATTTTAAGTGCTCTTCAACTGGCTGACAACAGCTGCCCTTGGGGAGAAGGAAACAATTTAGTAGAGCAGCTTGTAAGGACAAGAGTCTCAAGTGAGGTGGGACAAGAATTTTGGGTGTTGTCACTCTTCCAGGACATCTCCTTGTGGCTGCCCAGGGAGGGGGACAGAGAGTGTGAGACCTTGTCCTTGTGAAGGGCTATTTCAGGACTTGGAGGCCTGGCAGCTGCCAGGAGGGAGCAGAGGGGAAGGCTGCAAGTGCAAGTTAAGGGCAGCACCATCTCAGGGGTGTGGCTGGGTTGGGGTGGTTTGGGGTCAGAAGGTACACAGCAGAGTTGGTGGTGGAATTCAGGAACACTGTCAAAAGAAACAGGAGAATTAGGGAAAACATGCAAGCACTGAAGGATACCACCAGCAGGATGGAATGCATGAGCTCCTCTGGGAGCAGGGATGGACTGCCTGCAGTGTAAATAAATCCAATCTCCCCATTCCTCCTGCTCCCCCCTTAGTTTTCCTATTCTGGGTAAGAGAAGCAGGGCTGTTACTAGAGGTACACATCATTGTTGCTTCTGGGTCTTTTCTTTGAGAGTTTCAGGTGCTTCCTTAACTGTGAGAAGAGCCAACCAGCCTTGCCAGAGGTCAGGGTGGGCATCTCCACCCAGAGCTGAACGACTTTTATTCCTCAGCCTTGTTCTGGGGCTGCCATGAGACACGGATGTGTCACCAGGGGAGCAGGTCCTGAGCCACGGCAGCACCCTGGGCCTGCTCCAAACCTCACCTTGATCTCTGGCCAGCACAACCCTCCATGGCCCTTAGCCCTCGCTTGCCCAGGCTGCTTTCTTCTGCTAGTGCCTCTGCTGCCAAGGTTAATGCTTATTGCTCAGAGTAGTTCCTCTTCCAGGCACCTGTTGCTTCCCCAAACAGGTTACTGTTGCCTTCAGAGAAAAACGGGTTATTCTTTGAAGAAAAAAAGCCCAAACCCAAAGGTATTTTGGTCAGGCGATACCAGCGGGAACCACTAGAGGGGACTTGGCTTCACCCTCGCACCAGCCCGGCCCGAGTCCGAGTCCTGCAAGGGCGTGGAGCAAGGAGAAGGATGCCAAAGCCTCCTGCCCTGCACAGCCCTCCCGGGCGGTCTCTGTGTAACCCCGGGGAGGAGGAGCTGTGCCAGGAGAAGGGAGCAGACAGGCCTTTGAAGGGAGCCAGAAAGAGATGAGCTCAGCCCAGCAACACGAGGCAGCCACACGCTGGTTTGCCTGGCAGGGTTCAGAGATCTCCTACCTCAGTCTCCTGGCCAAGCCAAGCCCTTCTCTCACTTCTAAAAGGGACCAGTTTAAAACACCCCTTCCTTCACTTCCAAAGGGTTCCTGTTGCTGTGTGGCATCCCAGGACACTTGTCCCAGAGAAGAGAGGTCACTGGGGATCTGTTTGTGCTGATGGCCAACAGCCCAGCACTCCGGGAGGCAGATGGGTTGTTGCACCTTGGGCACCTCCAGCATTCCCTCCTCTTGGCAGCTCCTCCCCTGCAAACAGGGCTCAGAACCTCCAGACACTTACCCCCCACTTCACAGAAGAGCTTCCCAGCACTGCTCAGCCTTGCTCTGCTCCCCTGGGGCACAGGAAAACCTTGCAGCCACCTCACAATTCCAGCAAGCTGCTAGCCCTACAGGGACAGAATGGCTCCCAGGCCTGCCTGGGGAGGCAAAGCTGGGCACACACCAGATCTGGGCTGTCTCAGGACTGGTTCTTCAGGGAGGATCTGTCCCAGTATCACTGCTCCTTGCAGCCACCTCACAATTCCAGCAAGCTGCTAGCCCTGCAGGGACAGAATGGCTCCCAGGCCTGCCTGGGGAGGCAAAGCTGGGCACACACCAGATCTGTGCTGTCTCAGAACTGGTTCTTCAGGGAGGAAGATATGTCCCGGTATCACTGAGCTTTCTGCTCCCTCAGAAGTGCCCATTTCTCCTTGTTCTGGCTAATGGTGCCAAAACGGGTTATTTCTCATCATTAAAACCTTCTTGGTTCATTGCTTTGTTGCACATGGATTTGAAGCAGCTCCCACTAACCCACAACCTGAGGGATTTTTATCTTCCTGACCAGGGCAGCCTTCATTGAATACATAGAACTAAGGAAAAAGGGAGGATTATAGAACAGATCCATAGCAACCTTGTTCATTCTTCAAGCCAATGGCCTAAGAATTTGTGGTTTCTCTTCCCCCATCTTCAGAAGAAAGCCACGTGAGCAGAGGGAAGGTTATTCTGCCCCACTCTGAAGAGCTGCTTTCCATCTCCTCTCCCTCACTTGCTGCCTCACCTTCCTGGTTGTTTTTCTTGTTCCCATTTACTGCATGACCACAAGTTCCCAAGCAGAGTCTTCACCTTCAGGAGTTCTTCTGTCCCCTGCCAGGCCTTGGGCTGAAGCAAGGTGGATTTACACAGAAGACAACAGAAGAGCCAGTCTGAAAGGCCTCAGCCACGGCTCTCATGAAGTCACATCAGATGTACTATGGAAAAGATCTGTTTGGTCCAGAGGGAAAGCATCCTGTGTTTACACCACGGGCACTAACCCTGTGTTCTGGCCACAGGCAGCAGTCACTGCTGGGAAGCTGGTTCTGAGGCTAACAGATCATTATTGCTGGGGGGAGGGCTGGGTGTGATGACCCTAGAGGTTCTCTCCAACCCTAGGGATTGTGTGGTTATGGATCTAGGAGGGAGCCAGCCGCCGCTCACCAGCTGGGGGTGTGTTCCCTGGCAGTGACCCAGCCTGGGCACAGGGAAGGAGCTCTGCCCCAGCTGCCCCACAGCTGCCCCAGCTGGAGCAGGCAGAGCAGGGCTCATGGCTCAGTCCCGTCAGCCCCCCAGCACCCCAGGGCACCTCCCTGCTGCCAGGCACAGCCCAACGGGTGCCACGGGGCTGGGACTGCTGCAGGTCCCCCTGGCCCTGCCTGGGCAGCACCCTGGAGCCACACACACACACACAGACACACACACGGGCTCAGCCCTGCCTCTGGGAGGAGAAAGCACGATGAGAAAGATTATGACAATGAAAGGTTAAGGTACTTTTATTATAAAAGTCTATACAATGAGCACCAGACATAGCAATGCAATTACATCTGGTTTAGTTATATATATTCCATATCTATATATCCATATAGATATATAGGTTTTGCTTTTCCCAAAGTAAAACCGTTATCTCACAGAATGCCTAGAGCTACCCTTTAGTTATTGCTCAACAAGGATGGCACGAAACACACTGGGCAGAACTGTTGCCATGCTTATCTACTATACTGAATAAACAGCCAAACACTGCATAACAAACACAAAGCAGCTGTTAATTCTGAATTGGAACCTGTCTGATCACTCACTCACTTATAAAAATATTGGAATCATATAGATTTAAGCATTATAAAGGAGGAATATATTATTTAAAACATTTAAATAGTGCATATTGACATTTTGCATGTGGTATATAAAACACAAACATTCATGTACAACACTATACAGTACACATTAGTTTCAATGTTTGGATTACACCCGTGTCTGCAGGCTGATAGAAAAGGAACTGAAGTGTACATTGCACAATGGAACTGAATAAAATTGATAAATGGTCTCCAGACTAGTTTAACCTCATCATTCTCTAAGGTCCCAGATAATTTTGCAGTTAAAAAAAAATAAAATAAAAGGCATACCACCAGTGCTCAATAGTTTTAGTGCTTTTTTTTTTTCTCTGAATTCCAAAATTACATGCCTACAAGCAGAGTAAAACAAAACAAGAAGTATTCTACAGTACACAGATGAAATCTGAGCACTAAAAAAATCCTACTTTCAACCTATTTCATATGCTTTGTGACAGAACAGCAAGTCTCTGAGGTTACATGCCAGCCATTTCATGAGAAAGTTCATTTTTGGTCTTTCATAAAGCAGTGTGAATAAATAGCTGTGTTGACATTAGCCAGTCATAAAAACATGCAGTGAGAGTAGGTGCATGCAAAACATGGCCACAATCCAACTGATACACTGAGGAAAACAAAATTTAAAAAAAAAAGAAGAAATTGAGAAAGCACCAGTTAAAATGAACACTTAGATTCTGCCCGATCCAAACCAGCTGCTGATGGCTGTTGCAGAGCTTAAAGCTAGTAGCTAAATCATCATTCAGCACAGCAGATGGGAGACTCAAAACAGTCTTAACTCTGAAGCGAAATCATGCAAGGCCCATCAACTGTTTTGCTTACATCATAAGAGCTAGATAACTTATTTTTATTCAACTGTAAAACAAAATTGTGATAAACAGCAGTGATTTCATCACTCCAACCCAACGGTTGGCCCTGTGGAGCACATGAACTACACTGATTTTAGCCCTTGTTACCATGCTGAGTTCAGGTACAGTGGAATTTTAACTGTCCTAAGCCAGCTCTCTCCTGCTGGAGCTACTGAGGTCTGAGTGCCATCAGATCTCCCCCACACTGCAACGTTCATCACGTTCCTCAGATCTTCTGAAAGTGGAGATGCAGTATCCAATTCAGACAAAACACTATGTCACCACTAGCTGGTGAACAGCAACTGATAAAATGATAACATGAACAACAGTAACGTAAGTCCTGGAGGCAGCATGTGATAGAGCTTTTCAGTTTTCCAAGTTTTAAAGACACTAAGCAAGGTCACTTTCTGGTTTGTCCACTGTCATCTTTATCAAGGAGGAAACGTGACCACTAATGAGCAAAATCCATAGCTCTTAATTATGACTGTGTGACAGGTGCAATTTAGAATGCCAAAACTTAAAGGTTGTTCCACAGCAGTCCTTTGAAAGGAATTTCAGTCTGTTTTTAAAATGTTCCAGGAAAAGGAGCTGTATGTTTAATTTTCCCCCATCATAAAAAATAGGCAAGAGGAGTAGTTCAGTGTAGCATTATAGTATTAATAATTCCTTCAATAATGCAAAAAGTTGGTAATAACAAAAGTCTCCAAGTTCTTGAATGTTAAAATAAAAATAAAAAAAAGCAGCTATGGTTGTTTTGGAACAAGATGGATGCATCTGGAATACAAAACTTGGATGGAAACTGTGTTTGCTAAAGTTGGACAGAGCAGTCTCGAACTCAGAACTCCCAACTTGCTCTCCAGACAGGACCTACTGACCCTTCAGACACGTCCTACTGGCACCCAGTAAAGTGCTCAAACTGGATTCTCAACAGCGTGACAAACGAACACAAGCACCCGCTAAGTACAGGGGTAGGCTACTGAAACACCGTGTTATTCAACTGCCTGGAGGGGTAGCATTTAAATGGATTTTGAAGAATCTTGTTTGCTGATAAGGACTTCTAACAGCCTGAGTTTGGCTTTGATTTTCTTGTACTCCCTGTACTCATCAAGCATTGGAACCCGATCTTCCTTCTGCACGTTCCTGTAAAGAGAAGCAACACTGAGTTTCAAGAGAATCCTCTATGCTGCAGCCAAACACAAGCAGCTAGGTGTGGTTATCTTCAGGTAGATGAAAATCTTTTTGGCACCCTGCTCACCCATTATAGACACACCATCATATTTTAGTTCACTCTAGTCCAAACGGCCATCACCTAAAAAACTGAAGAAACCCCCCAGCAGCATGGATTCAGCACAACTCTTGTAGCACTGTTTATAAATCACTCCCTTAAGTCCTTCTGGAGGTTTTATTAACAGGATATGAAGATTTTAATTTGGGATCCTGTGTATCCATTACAGAAAAATAGATTTGTCAATCTACATTTTCACCATATGGAGACTGGGCCACAAACTGATAAAGGAGAATAATTGTCTAAGACTGACTACAATAAATTAATCTACTCATCTGACTTATTTTTAAATCAACCCTTCATTATTAACCTCATTATTTGCCATTAAAGTCAAAAGGAGTTACATCCCAAATTCAGTAAGTGCATGAGGAAGCCATGTCAGTGGAATTTGTGTGACCAGTCCAGGAGTTTATAGTTCAGGAGAAACAGAGCACAAAGTGCAGTCCAGAGAGGACCTCAGCCAGCCAGGAAAGGACTGACCTCCTCCCTAGGAGTGCTTTTAGTTTGGTTCTTGAGGTGCTACACCTCAAAAAAAAACTCCTGTTGCACACAATGGGCAGCAGTTCAACCAAATTTGTAACAACTAATATTCAAATAGGAAGCCCGAAAGAACTGGATAATACACAAAATAATAAAAAGTTATTTAAAAAATTGTAAATAATGGTAAAATAATTAAAATCTTAAAGTAAATATTCACTGTCAGGACTGACTTACTGGAACAAGGGACAAATAGGCAAACTTCCCTACCCTATGTTAAAAACAGAGGGATAATCTGAGAGGGTTTTTTGAATACAAGAAAATACTTTATATTTTATAATGGTTTGGTTGGTTTTGTGTCTTTTTTTGTTTGGTTGGTTTTTTTTATGGAAAACCCCCCAGTTCTGTTTTCATTACTATGCTTTACAGACTGTAATAGAAGAAGCAAAACTCACAACAGGCTTCCTCCACTATTAAAAATACACAGACAGATTCCATTTGGCAACATTCCTACAGCAAGGTGAAAAAACCTCCTGGCTACAAAACGAGGCTGCTGTCCAGCATCTGCTTTTGGGCTAAACCAACCTTCCATTCTGCTGATAAAACTCCTCTTCAAATTCTCGTAGCGTCTTACGTAGCTTCTTTTTTTCAGCTCTGGCTTTCCACAGTTGCTCCAATAATTCAGGCCTAAAAGAAAAAAAAATTGTGTTGGCCATACAATCAAACTTCAATTCTTCAAAGCATACTTAAAAGCAGCTGAGCTAGCTGCACTGGTCACAGATCTGTCTTGTTCCCGAGCAATCTGCTGTGTGTCTGATGAGGAAACAGTGATAAAAAGCTGGTTAATTAAAGGGCACACATTATCTGCTGCCTGCACAGCTCAGGTAAGGCTGGAGGAGGTCTGGGAGACGCTCAACAGTGTCTCTCTGTGTGCAGTGCATGAAGTCAGACACGCCAGAGGAGAGAAAGCTCAATCAGACCCAACGCTTCCTGGGAAGTGCTGAAGGTGTCGCTCCCACCCAGCAGCACCCTTGGGCTCCCGACTGTGGTGCAGCACCTGTCCCCCTCTCTGCACATACATGGAGGCAGCACGGGTGCTGGACAGCCTCAGGTCCCGGGTCAGCTTCTCCTGTCCCTCCTCAACATCAGACTCAGAGTTCTCCACGGGGCTTAGCACAGGCTGTGTCTGGGCAGCGGTTTTTAAGATATCGTTCAGGTCTGCAGGCAAACCATCGCTTTCCTCCTCCTCTTCCTGAGGATCAAAACAGAAATCCAAGCCAAATATGAAATACTTCAGTCCCCTAGTACAAGGGCTGGGAAGGATATTTTTAAAATGCACTGTACACACCTTTATTTCTTCAAAAAAATGGGCGGTTTCACCTTCAATAATGGGCTGCAGCATCTGCCCACGCCTCTTGGTTGATGGGGAGCCCTGCAAGAATTCAGATTTGTTTCATTATCTGTAATTAGACATTAAATGCTGTCTGCGGTCAGAATTTTGTTCAGGTCACCTAATACCTAAAGGTATCTCTTCTTCTAGAAGAATAAAAGACTGCAAACACATGACAGCACAGACAAAACAACCACATAACACAACAAGCTCAGATGCCCAAAGTATCCTTGATGTAAATAAAAATATCTGAAACTGTGATGATATTCTTATGATTTAAAATAAAAAACACTCCCTCTCCATGCTTTGTGGAAAAATCATAAAGCACAAAGGTATCTCTGAATTTCCTATTTACTCTCATTCCTCCCAAACCAAACCATAAGGAGATTATAAAAATAAAGTTACACAATGCCAGAGCTGGTTTGTATCTTCTGCCAGGCAGACACTGGGAATAAAACTGCCAGTTTCTTTTTCCAGACCACTCTGAAGCCCCGCAAGGGGAAGGGCTGTGTAAGAGTTACCTGCTGGCACCTTTGAGTCAAAATCCTTTGAACTCCAGCCTAAAGCAGGTGCCCCTGTGCTGTTAGCTGGACACTTGCCACCAGGCCCCGCTCACCCGTTACCCCTGGGCTGCAGAAGCAATTTGAAGAGGAGGAAGGTGGAACGTGAAAGCCACAACAACCTGTCAAAACACTCCAGTTCATGAAAGGTAAATGGCTTCCTCTTTGGATAGTTCCATACAGGCTTCAGTGGTTAGGATTCTGTGATACCCCAAGAGGTATCTCAGGGAAGCCAGTGTCAAATAAACCAAAAAGCAATTCTAGAAATACCTGGCACTGAACACAGCCTACCTAGAAGCCACCACCTATCAATCTGTGGTAGTCAGGGAGCTCCATGTATCTCTTACAGCTTTCAAAAGCACAGGCTTGCAGAAAATATTTTACAGATGTTGCCTCCAGCACAGATTAGGAATTATGTTACCAGGACCCCTTCTGAATTTAAAATGCTTTTGGAAAAAAAAAGAATGATGGCTACAATATGGTCCTGGTAATATAAAATGCACCTTGGCTGAGGAGCCAGATTTGAGGTGAGAGGTGATAAAACCCAACCAGTCAAGAGCACCACCAGTCACCTGTGATTCACAGTCAGGGAGGAATGCTGAGGTGTTTTACAGCAGCCTGTCTTTATGGAGGGCAAAGAGCAACACCAACACAGAAATCCTTCAGCTGAAACATGACTGCAATGCAAACCACATTCTTCTAGGAAAGCAGCTCCCCAAAAATGTATGTGCAAGAAAGGAACGACCTCGAGTCACTCCCTTTATCTCAGTGTGCTCCAGCTTACAGGGGACAGCTAAGAACGGTGAGTCAACCTGATCCTGCTGAGTAAGGCACTGCCCAGCTCTGTACATCTGTGGGAACTGTGAGATTATCTCAGGTCAGCTCTGCAATCCCCTCCTCCAAACAGGGTCAAACAGCTACTATCAAAACTGTCTTGTTTCCAGTCTGGGTCAGTGTGCAGGATTGTGGCTGCAGCTCAGGGAGAGCACAGCCAGCCAGCTGGCTGTCATTCCCCAACTGTTTTACAGGTGCCATCAACAAGGCTACATCCATCTCCTTGCACAGTATGAAAACTTCTCTTCCTCATCTCTTAAAAGACCACAGGGAGAGGAGAAAAACAGAACAGAATGGACTGAAAGTTAGAAGGAAATGAAGTGCAAACACAAGGAGAAAGCACAGATGTTGTACAGATGCTGCAGACACTGATAACATGTCTCACAGGGTGAAGCATGAGGGAGTGAAGTGGTTCTTGCTGCCAGCCTGGGAACAGAAGAGAGGGAAGCTTCACTGCAACTGGTGTTACTATTCTTGGGAGGGCTGAAAGTACACTATGCACTGTGGATCCATAGCTAGCACAGTGACCTGGGGGCGTCTCAGCCACGGCCAGTCAGAACAGCTTATTTACTTCCACTGAGAACCATCTACTTCCTACGAGCCACCAAGGTCACAGACAGCTTTGAACTGCTCTGCTCTCAGCAGCAAATCCAATGCCTCAAGCACGACAACATCATCTTGGATCTTCCACAAGAAAAATGTATTTGATGGGACAGTATTTGCAGCTCTTCTAACGGCAGCCTAGCAGTTCAAAAGTGGACAAAAAAAAAAAAGAAATAGCATTTGTTTTACTCACAAGAATAGGAGTAATGCTTGCTCTAGTTAACATTTGTTTTACAAGTCTGTATCTGTCATAAAGTGGCTTCACAATATGTCTTTCTTCTCTAGTAACCTAAAGGCAGAGAAACCACAGAATTAATGATCCCAGTCACTCAGTAATACAGCAAACACAAAGTGGAATGCTTCTCGTGCCAGGCCAGGTACCTTCCAATTAGGAACATGAAACTAGTTCAAATTGTGTGTGTGAAATGGGGTTTCTGCAGACAAAGAGGAATAAGTGGGTGCTTCTCCCACTTTAACTCCCTATGTATTTCAGGAAGAAGTTTTAAAGACTTCCTAGAAGTTAGGGGAGCTTCAGTAAAGCAAACCCTCTATCTTTAAAGACTCATGGAAAAGAGCCAAAGAAAGGGACTGAGAAGTGGGGGAGAAGACTGTGTGCCTAGCAATGATGATGATTCTACAGAAATGATAGGGGGGAAAAAAGGAAAAGATGAAACTGTAGAGATTTTATCCAATTTCTCATTTACTCTCAATTCTTCACTACTGTGGACTCAACACAGTAAATCTTAAAGGCAGTTCTGAACAGTTACCAGCTTTTTCTCCCTAAGGGGACTGTAGAACCATACCCAGTATCTCTGAGATCATTATTCTTCCTTGGCTTTTACACTGAAAGCCTTGGCCAGATTTATATGGTGTGCTAATGATAAAGCTACTGTGCCCAGTCCAGAAAGCTGATAAAATAGTAACTGCAAAGATCTTGTGACTGGACTAATGACACTGCCCAAGACAAATCCCCAGCACTTTAGGTACTAATTACTAGTCTCTTACTCTAACTTCCATCTCTGCAGTTAAGATACATGCCACAGACTTGGGGGAAGGAAAAAGAAATTAAAACAAAAAAGGAAAATAAAAAAACCCTTGACTTTTCACTTCTGTTTATGGAAATCCACAACACTTCAAGCCTTTTCCCAGGAAATTCAGGAGTGTAGTTTAAGATTTCTCTTTGCTTCACAGGCGTGTAAGGAACCCAACACCACCAGTTACTTTGCAAACCCCAATAACCTCCTGATCTGTGGAAAAAGGGTCTATTAGTACACACTTTGCTTTAGAAGTTAAGGCAACAGCTTCCTCTGATGGCAACATGGAAACCAATAGATAATTTTGTGTTTTGGAGAAGGAAAAAAAACCCACACCAGCATTCAATTCTGGTATTACTACTGGCAAGTGTTACTGCTGTCTCTGCACACATTAAAAGGTTGATGAAGGAAACCAAGAATTACCGGTCGTCCATGCTGACTTTCATAATACAGGAGGCTTTTCTGGAGAGATGTTTTCTCTTCTACCAAATGGTCCTTTGTCATTTTCTATCAGAAGAATAAGTCACACCTCATCAAACACAAGTCACTTTAACAGGGTTTCTACATTATCAGCTATGTAGATGCCTTTGCCCAATTTAGCTTAGTTAATACCACACATCCCACCTTCAGCCATTTAAAGCTGTCCAATATTGTCAGCACATACTTGTCAATATTTTAATAAAGTGCAAGCAAGGAAAATATGGTTCATCTTGATCACCTGCCCAGAAGCTTGGTCAAGGGCTGCTGAAGCCCTTGTTGATGAAGTAGTATCTGAGGTGTCTGTCAGTGCTCTATTTCCCTGTTATTCTCTTAGAAACAGCCCACCCATAATCTTGTGCTTACTTTTATATCTTCTGGCAAACATCTCTCCACTCGTTTTTCCTTTAATCTTTTCAAAATGAGTTCAAGGGTAGCCTCCTTGGTGGGCTTCTTCTCCTTCTGCACAGCCCGCGGCTCGTCGCCGTTTTCTTCATCCTCCTGGTCGAGAGAGGAGCCAAAGCTTTTTGGGAGAGTGTTACTTCGTGGGCGTGTTTGAGGTATGAATTCTCCATCCGAGCTCCTCTGCTTTGCATCTGAAATGAGAAAAATTGCTCAATCTGGAGGTTTCAAAGAAACAACTCTTCAGTGCATCAAACTGTACAGGAGCGTAACAGTTTGCACAGACAAAGTTTCTCTGCCCATCAGCTAGAACCAAAGCCACAGGAGCCAAAGCTTTTTGGGAGAGTGTTACTTCGTGGGCGTGTTTGAGGTATGAATTCTCCATCCGAGCTCCTCTGCTTTGCATCTGAAATGAGAAAAATTGCTCAATCTGGAGGTTTCAAAGAAACAACTCTTCAGTGCATCAAACTGTACAGGAGTGTAACAGTTTGCACAAAGTTTCTCTGCCAATCAGCTAGAAACAAAGCCACAAGAGTAATTGGGGTTTGATTTTTTAATAGTTCAGAATCTAGAAATGAAACACTTTTAGTGTCCTTGTGCAATTTTACTGAAGGACTTGGTGCTTTTAGTCATGTAGAAAACCAGAAACTGCAGCATCCCTTACCTTTTATTTGCTTTCTCAGTTTGGTAAGTTCAGTCATCCATTTTAAGACTTTTGGATTGGCTGCAATATCACTATAGGAAGGCTGAAAAGTAACACAAACCACATATGATGAAAACAAACACACTAAATCTTGTTCAGCAACACTTCTTTCAAGATTTGGTGATATTTATGACAGCAGATGTGACTAGGAACGTGGATGCCTGCCATTCAGTACCAGATTAAATCTCAGTGCCAATACCTGGCAAAATAAACCTGAAACAAGGCATCAGAAGTTGAAGCAGGGAGTGGCAGATGCTCCTGCTTCTCCACATACCTCATCTGATATGCCCTCAGTCTTGAGGCATAAATTTCACTGTCAGCCCTTCTCTGGGCTCAGGCATTAGGGCACATTTTCTAGTACTGCTGAATGCTCAGTTCACTTTTGGAGACAGCAGCCTATTACAAAATTATTCTCATTTTTGAGCCCACAGTTACTTAGTGATGAACTACAAGGACCTTAGCTCTACCACACAGTCCTTTACCCTGAATAAAAGAAGTGGTAACTTACTTTACTGTTTTTCTCTTTTTCAAACTGTTCCTCAAATTGCTTTATTTTTTTCTGTAATTTCTTGACAAGCTGATAAGGTGTCTTGTCTTCCCTTTTGTCATCTTTCGAGCTAAAGGATGCTCTTCGTGTTCTGTATTAAAAACATTTTCAGATGTCATTGAAATCACTAAATGAGTGCAAACAACTTGTATATGGCAGTAACAGATGACTAATTTCATTTTTTTTCCCCCCAGTTCATAATCCATTCTTTTCAAGTTTTCAGGCAGAGCTATTTACTTACTGAATCAACAAGCTTTCATTTGCCACCTTCAAAATGTAATGTATTATTTTTTCCCCTCTCTAATTCCAGTAACAGAAAAGCAGCATTTGAAATTGAAGTGCAATAAACTAAGGTTCCATTAATTACATTGTCATTAAAACAGTTCAGATCTTTCTGGTGCCTAAGTTACCTACCAAGTTACTAGATACTTGGTATCTCTTGAATTACTGGGTGCAGAATAAAGCCTAGGATAGAAGCTACCACTGAACAATTCTTGGTAACTTGTTCCACATAACTCTTAGACAAATTACTAGATACTTATCTAAAAACATCCATACCATCTACTGGCCTTACTAATATTTCTAGAGTATGTGATTCTGGTTTTAAATCATCTTCTGCACTTGTTCAGCTCTTTGAAATTT